AAACAACAAAACCCCCCCCCCCCCCCATGCGTACGTACTAAATGGACGTCCCCGCGTACTGTATAAAAAGTCTCGTCGTTTAAAACGTATACTTCTCCACGGATAAAACCAATTGTATCTTCCATGACCCCTAGTGGGCAACCGTAAAGCCGTATAAGAGATTTCATAACACAAAAATACATTACCACTAATACTCGTTAAAACGTTTATGCCTTCCAAAACGTCAATCTGTTCAAATCTCCTCCTTGACACCATTGTAAAAACTAAACACCAAATAACACAAATATGATTATTTTTCTACGGTATGTATGCATGCCGGTATGTATACATTAACGTTACGAACCGATCTAAAAAATGTACAAGCATAGTGTTAAAATGCCATATGGGAGTACAACTATAAAGATGTGAAATCATGGAACTAATGTCGCAGATATAACATTAGAGAAAGACAAATGAAATTTTAAAAATGGCCTGTTTGTTTTAAAAGATCCAAAATCCTAAATAGTTGGGCTTTATTAGCCTAACCAGCTCGTGTTATTGAGCATTAGAGTATGAAGTAGTATACTAATACCCAAGGCACTTTAGCATTACCCTTGCTTATTTATATGTATGACATGTAAGTCCCTACCTTTTCCGTTGCCGCTTCTATCCAGCAAAAAAAGGCCATTTTCTGTTCCAATCAGAAGGTTGACACCTTTATTAACAAAACAACTGTGTTAAAACAAAACATTCCAAGCCCTTGCCAAGACACATACGTGCATGTAACGTGGATTTCACCAAGTATGGAATAGATAAGAAAAAGACAAATCCCACCGAAATACATATGTGAACAAATGTTTCACACAAATGTTTCACTGTGAATAATCTGTAAAAACTGCCAGTATATTATCAGAATACACTCACCCCAAAGCGCACCACAGAGAATTTCAGTTCGAAATTTGTATTTATATTTACCAATTTGTGGCATCTGGAAAGTAAGCACAAATTGTAATCACACGCCAAACAAGAATGGAGTATTTCACAATGCAGTAGGAGTTTTATGTTACATTTTACTAATGTTATACATTACAAGATCCTAATTAAGAATTGCCCTCCTTATACCCCATTGCATTAACTTAGAGAAACTCTAATTGTATAGTCCGCCATTTATATGTGCATGTTCACTTTCGTGTCCGTGGGGGGTCTCAAACCTATATAAACACAAAATTAGGGACCCTGGTAATGGAGCAATAAGCTATGTAGGGATAACCTGTCATTTATGGCTAAGTTTGTAAAAAAAACCCCGAGGAAATCTCATGCAAATACAATATTAAAAAAAAATATACAGTATATTTCCTTCATTAAACATTTATACGGCTAAACGCATAATAATCCCCAAATAAACCCTCGTTTGGCGTGGGGAAAGGGTAAATCGAGAAGAGCATCATAATTCCAGATCCAAGGGTTTCAGCTTTTCGCCATTCAGTAACCGTGACAAAATCCCAATACACTTACCGTCGAGTCGTCGTACTGAGACACTGTCCTTTCAGGTGTAACATTGACTGACACTTCAGCAGGAACTTGTTGTTTACTGCCAAAGACGAACGACTTTGAAGCTTTTCTATATTTCTTTTCATCCAAATTTGAGGATGAGGAAGAAATAGATTCATCCGATATAGAATTGCTATCAACATCATCTTTGGGCTTGGACTTCTTCATCTTCTTTTCTTTTTCCTATAACACACACAATGGATATAGGAAAGACACTCTACTATTTGAGCCCAATACCTTAGTTGGTAATTTGAAATTGTCATTGTCACAAATAATGAAAATTATGGTGTGCAGGGCTTAAAATAGGCTAATGGTTAAATGAACGAAGCGTTTGTTCCTGGTAGGGATATAATCAGGTTCTAATCTAATAATGCTTTGTTTGTGGAAACACCAAGTAAATTTATTACTGCAAAGCTTTCGATCCGTAAGCCCGGATCTTCATCAGTGCTAATAATATGTGACTTGTTATAATTGTAATTCTTGTTCTAGGTTCTAATTTTAAGAAAAAAACAGGCATTTAACACATGTTATCAATTGTAGTGCAAAAACGTCGTACTTTATGTGGCTTACTTTTGCAAAATAATCCACTAAATTTCATTCAAGCTTTTCTCGGCTCTATACTTTAGCAGCGAAGTCAAGAAGTGTAGCTCCATAAGCCGACTAAAGGTCATTTTCAGACAATGCATGCATGCATCATGACAACATGAACGTACTGTACTATCATCATATTCACGCATCAGTTACCTTAAGTTCTTTCTGTTGTCTTTCTGGTAGAACATCTGGTAAGCTGCCAACAAACGAACTTCGAGATGGTCCGCTTGATTCTCCGAAGCTGGTCGAAGATGAACCAGACTAGAACAAGAAACAGTGTTTTAATTACGGCATACACATTCATTTAACAATTTACTCAACAATTTCTTCAAATGGATGGTTTTAAATTTAGGAATAAAAAAGTATTTTCTGAATTATACCGGCTTACATTTTTCATTTACACTTTGCTTTGACCGCAGTAAATGAGGTAAATTGATCATGTAATCCCTCAAGTATACTGTTCATCGCTACCTACACTGGAGCTTTGAATGAACAATTATATTATCAGGGTTCTTCCCATAATATGAGCTATAAGGACTATTTAAGGACTTTTGACGGCGTGGTTTTGCACGAGCACTCCATAGCAAAACTACAATACTATTCGACATAAGACATATTCCTCTTTGTTCTTCACCCAAAAATCGAGATTACAAGCAAGGGTATACGTGTCTGTTGACGTGGGAATTTTATTTCAACGGATAAAACCACTATATTTAGTATCTCTAAATTTATGACTTTGATGAATTTCACCTAGACGGAGCCACAGAGTCTATCACTCGATCAGCACGCCACAAACACTGGCAGAGTAACGAGTCTATAACTTAGTTGCCATTGAAGTGATATATACTTACTATTGAATCGTCATCTCCATCCTTAATTACAAGTCCAGGGTCATCCAGTCTTGTACCTATAGATTGATAGATTCAAAAATACAATATAAATTACTGTAAACTACATTTTCTACTGGTAAAACATGCACTGGATAGCTAGGTAACATACTTTGAAGTTTTCTTGTGATTGTTAAAGTTTCATCTGAATAGTCATCTCTGAAAAAACAAAAAAGAAAATCAGTTTATTAGCTGAGTTCTAGTCTCACTAACAAATGGTAGATAAACAGTAGCATTTTGAAGTTCTTTCACGTTGTAGTTTTGCATGGTGATAATATACAGTAATTTTGTGGAAATGTTGGTAATATTGGTCCTGTCTGAGAAATAGACAAACATATACTGTACTTCACGACGATGCAAACCCTTCGCAGTATTTCAGTTAAATGAGTAATCTATTTCCAAAACATGTTTTCTTTGTATCATAAACATTACCTTGAGTCTTTTGATCTGTTTCCGTCTAACGTTCTATCGCTATACTCGACCTCATTATCTTCATCTTGACCAATCTAAATTGGAAAAGAATACATCAGTTCTTATAATCGTAGAGTAAAATATTGTTACAGCTTTGTTACAGTTATTCAGGTACATAACATAACATAACATAACATAACATAACATAACATTTATTAATTTATATCGCGCAAATTCAACAATGCAGTTTTCAAATGTGCGTTACAACAATGGATAGGACAATTAAAATACGTAGAACTAATATTACAAATTTAATCTAAGAACTGAGCTAATAAAAAGCCTCTTTAAAAAGATATGTCTTAAGATCTTGCTTAAAAATATTAAAATCTGAGATACTCCTAAGACTCAATGGCAATACATTCCATAGTTTTGGTGCAGCAGCCATAAAGGCTCTGTCACCAAGAGTAGACAATGTCTTTGGCGGACATAAAAGAAGTTTGTTATTTGATCTTAAGCTATAAGAAGAGTTTGTTTTAAAAGTTATAAGTTCAGTTATATAATTAGGGGTAGTTCCATGAATTGCCTTAAACGTAAGTGTAATTATCTTATATTCAATTCGATATTTGACTGGCAACCAGTGTAACTCATACAACAGCGGAGTAATATGGCTAAACCGTGGTGCACGGTAGAGAATCCTTGCGGCAGCATTCTGAACACGTTGTAATTTGGCTATAGCATTGTTGGGAAGTCCATATAACAGTCCATTGCAATAGTCTAGGTGACTGGTAACGAAGGCATGAACAAGTTTCTCTGTTGATTCTCTGCTTAAATACTTGCGAATTCTTCTTATATTATGCAGATGATAAAAAGCACTTCTACAGGTCTTATTGATATGGTGATTCAAGTTGAAGGTACGGTCAAACCAAGCGCCCAAGTTCCTGATAGGTTCTTCAGATGGTGAAATTACAGATTCACCAATAGTTAGAGTAATGTTCTTGACTTTAGCGAGCTGAGCTTTTGTTCCAATTAACATAAATTCCGTTTTTTCATCATTTATCATCAACCTATCACTAATCATCCAATTCCGGATGTCTCGTAGGCAATTCTCCATAGCTAAGATGGCAGCATCCTGAGCATTATCGCTACTTGGGTTA